AATTAAATTCAAATAATATTTTTACCTAATTTTATCATTATTATTATTTTTATTTTCATTAAATTAAATTAAAATAAATAAAAATCAAATAAATAAAAATAAAATAAAATTTTATTTTACTTGGGTGTTACATTGATACTCCATTCAATATGAAGGTGAATCATATCTCTCAAACCTTACTCGTAAGGGACTTCCTAACTCTGTCCGACTGAGGTAACATTCACGGTAGAGTTTCCTATGTATCGGGTCCATCTGCCTTTTTCCGGGTAGGTAGTAAATCTTTCATATACAGATTTTTATCAATATAACAATCAACCACACAATACCAATATATCATTTTATATTCACATATCAATAAAATGACATTTAAGCAAGTGATTAAACTCACCTTCGTGGCTGAGTGTTTTTCTTCGAATAACCTATAAAAAATAGAACGGTGATCACAATTATGAAAAACTCACACGAAACAGGAATCAGGAGGGGCTCATCGGAGGCAGTTGTGGATTTTTCCTGTAGTGGCGCTGAGCTTTGCCCGCAGTTTCCAGCTCATCCACCATTTTTTTTGCTCCGATTTGGCTATGAGGGTGCTCAGAATCAAATTCCAAGCGGATATGAGAATTTTTACATTTTTTGGCAATCGAAGGTGGCTCCGTCGCGGCGGTAGACGGCTCTATTCTCTGGCGACTAGTTCGTCTTTTCCAGCGGAAGACTGATGGCTAGAGTTTGGGTTCAGTGTGATGCAAGATATTTATACCTATCTTACATCAATCTGGGTCGTTCATTGCGATTTAATCTCGATCGTTTAATCGCATTTAAAGAGAAAATGAATCTAGACCGTTTATCGCGATTTAAACTCGACCATATGATTACGTTTAAAGAAAGAATGAATCTAGATCGTTCATCGCATTTAATCTTAACCGTCCGATCGCGCTTTAGGAGGGAATGGATTCGGACCGTCCACACGCGCGAGAACATTTCCGGACCGTCTGATCGCGGGGCACATAGATCGCCAGCGTGGCATCTTGTGTGGCACCAAGTCAGCGTGCCTTGTCACGCGGTGCGCTCTGGTTCGTCGAGGCTACTAACTAGGCAGTCATACATGACGCAATTTTTTAAAATTACGTTCTGACCTCCAATTTCTATTTTTTTTTTCAAAAACATCATCCGAATCTAAATTTTCACCCTTTTTTTTCAAAATTATTTTTAATTTCGTCCTCAACCTATTTTTTTCTATAATTCACATTAAACTAAAAGTATTTTTACTTCTATACAATCATTGTTTATACAAAATAATATTTTCATTACGTACATAGTTATAAAAAAATTATATCTAAATTCATGCATAGCATATAATAAAAATTTTATTACTTATGTTTATAAATTCTTTTCATGTTACAAATTATTAATAATATAGGCACCAATTAAAGACAAATTATATTTGGAGAGTTTTTTTCTTAATCATATTATTTTTAACAAAATAGAGAATTCGAACAATTTTTTTAAAAAAACTAAATTTTGTACAAATTGCAAACGATAATCCACGTCCCAACTAAAGTGAAATTTTGCAAAGACATGCTAAGGACTTTTACTTGATGATCCTTTGCCAAGGTGCGAACTAAAATGTACTCTTTTTAATTCTTTGAATCACGATTTATGTATTATTATTTTGTTAAATAATCAATAATTAGTAAGATAAATATTAAAGTAATAAGGTGATTCTTTTAAAGATAGCTTTTACAATTATTAGATTAAAGAAAGGTAATTTTTTTAAAAATTCACTTATTATATAGAGTGTAAATTTATTAAGATTTTTGGATGTTCAGTGATGCAACAAAAATCTCGTAAAGAATCATATGCTGGTAGAATTTTTTATGTTCAAGAACGATTATTACTATAAGACGACCAAGTGCAAAGTTAAAAAAAAAATTTCTTAATTTGCTTCTTGGATTCAACATCAATATCTATGAAGCATGCCGGTCAATCTCAAGATTATTTTTTGTTTTGTTAAGAGATTTGTTATGCATATATCTCTTCTACTTATTTTTTTATTATTTTCTCCGAGTATTTTTTTATTTTTTCTTTAAGTTCAAATAACTCTTTAACTCTTTTCATTATTCTACATTTTGTAGAAAAATGAGGACAATAGTCTTATCTTCATAAGATCGCAGATCTCCATCACAGTAAAAGTCTTATGTTATATTAAAAGGAAGACAATAGTCTTTTCTATGACATCCTCCCCATCAATCGAGCACATAAAAGTAAAATTTGCAAATAAATTCCACAAATTTATGAACTAATTCTAAGACGAGCACAAAAGTGAATCCAAAAAATATTCTATTATATATGTTTACCAGTAGTACATTACCTCCAATAGTAGATATTTATAATTACATGTTCTTATACTGATATCGACAAGCACAAAATAGATAGCAAAAGAAATTGAGTGTAATTAATCCTGCTATCAGATAATAAAAATAATCCAATTTACTAGTATTTACATTTTCGGTTAGCCAGTTGTCATTACAGTCACGCACAATAGTTACTATTAAGCTGCTTATGTAACTTGCTAAAGATGTGGTGAGATAAAGCATGGAATTACCAATACTTCTCATGTGATCAGGAAACTCCTCGTTGTAAAATTCCGTGAGCCCAACAATGCAATGCACTTGAGAGAAACCCATTAGTACTAATTGAGTAGCTAACCACATTACTGACATGGGTGCAACACCATTTGATGTACCATTCAGAATGGCCAAGTCTCTTCTCTTTTGCTCAACAAGCCCAGAAACCATCATAGTTAAGGCTGCAAATATGTTGCCGATCCCTACTTTCTGGAGCACTGTGATTCCGTCTTCATGTTTCATGAGCCTCCGGAGAGGTGGTAGAAGAACTGTATCATAAAATGGAAGCCATATACCAATTGTTATCAAAGATATGACACTGATTGAACCTGCAGGTATTTCATAGTTGATACTCATAATGTGACGGTCCATTTTCTGGGCTTGTGATACTGCAAATGTTTGTTGTTGGTTGGAGGCAAGGAAGCCAATTATACTAGTAACACCAATAGGGATAATCCTTATAAGACGTTTAACATCTTCAATTTGTTGGATGCTGCAAACTTTCTGTGGATTTATAAGATTACCATCAACATCTACTTCATTCTCACTCGTTATAGCCGCTTTATTCAAGAATCTAATCAAAAAGATTAAATCATCACAATCTTTTACAACAAGACATGCATATGGAATGGAAGTACATATATATATATATATATATATATATTATTCTTTACCTGAACTCGTCGGTGAAAGGCAGTTTGTGTGACAGTAAATGAGTATTTAATGGAGGATTTCTGGAAATAACTTCATCTCCATCTGTAGGAAGTGTAAGCCGACGTTTTCTGTAAGCTGCTATAAATACTCGTATAATACTAGAAAACGTGCTTCCTTTTGGGTTGACACATACGTAAAATGGTGATCCAACGATAAAAAGAACAATTGCACCGAGCATAAGAACTGTAGGTATTCCAAAACCCAATGCCCAGCTAATATCATTTTGGACATAAACAACTAGAGTTTGAGAAATCAACAAAATAATTGTTTGGGTTGTGTAATACCAATTAAAGAATCTAATAACTCCTCTCTGTCCTTCACTAGTTGATTGATCAAACTGATCAATACTGAAGGGAACACTACATGGCTTGACTCCACCCGTGCCTATGGCCAAGCACAACATGCTTAATATCAAAAAGCTTAGTTGAGTATTAGTGGCCGCTATGCATCGGTTGTTTTGTTGTTGTTCAATGGGACATGGAGGAGGTCGAAGTTGTGGCACCAACGCTGTTGCAGTCATGATCATCATTCCCTATCAACTTAATTTAATTAGCCTTAAAACATTACTGATTTAATTTACACTAATTAAATTGAGCCGCAAATATTATGTTTAAAACAAATTCAAAAGCTTGTGAAATTCATCTTTAAATGTAAACTTAATTTAACCAAGAGAAGATGTGACCTCTTGTAGGAAATTCTAGATGGAATAAGTATAATGTGTTCCAAATTTCAAAGTCTATCTACTCCATATAATACATAAGGTTAAATTTTTTATAATCCTTGGAATGATTAATTTGTCAATCATTTCACCGCTATGAACAATAACAATAGTGTTAATAACTATTTATCAATTTATATCACAAATCTTTTGAAAATTAAAATAATAATTAAACATTTAAAGATGAAGTCTAAATGGAAAAAAACTTCACCTATTATAATAAAACATAATACATCGACATATTTCACGATAAGAGATTATATCCTTTAATAACTTCACGCTTGGCATGATCCTAATCAGAATGCATTTATTGGGAACTATAGAAATTAAAAGTCCAACACATAACAAAACCAAGCATCTTCATACCGAGAAAAAATCACTTTGAAAGCATAGCAACAATAAGACAATGCTATATATAAACAAAAAGCACTAGGAAGTTTATGTGAGAAAATTACAAGAAGAGAAGTGAAAGAGCCAAAGATGATGGTCTGGAATTTGCCAATGAAGACATCAGATATGAAGGCACCAATGAGTGGTGTGAAGTTGGTAACACCATACCATGCATTTATAATGGTTGCAGCCTTCACTTGGTCCATGTGGTACTCTCTTTGTAAGTACACCATGAAGTTGGCGATTAACCCATATGATGCCAATCTCTCAAACGTTTCATTTCCTGCATAAAAATTCAACTTTACCTGTTTTAATTTATTGCAACTAGGGTAAATGGAGGAAGGAAGAAAGAGTTTTTTTTTTTTAAAAAAAAAGACCTAAAATGAAGGGCATGATTTTCCATCCTGCAGGCTGTCTCTGGCATTCTTCAGAATCTGATAAAAGGTTTCCACTCTCTTCATCCATTTTCTACTGTTGCACCTCTTGTTTACCTTCTTATGAAATCTGTAGCCTAGGCTCTATAACTTTGGATTGAAGAAATATGATTCTTGGCATCTATATTTATAGTTGGCTACGTATATAAATCATATAAGCAGACTTTATAGCTACAATTGTTGCCGACTTTGGATTCCTTTTCATAATTCCTTTAGTATCATTTTGCATTTCTGTTAAGCTTACAAAGGGATTATGTACATGATGTCAGATAATACACATGTAATTGTTATTTTGGTCCAATACAAAATCCTTTTACTTTAAAATAAAATCCAATCCCTCTACACCATGATCCATGATTATTCATCAAAGATAACTGATTTTTTTCCCACTTTGCAGATTTGGTCTTTTTTTCCTAAGTAATTTTTGGGGTAAGATCCAACTCCTACTTGTTGGGAGTATTATTCTTTTGATAAGATTAGGTTAGATGTCAATGTAGATTTACTTTTTCTTTCAAGACATGATCATGATCTGTGTGTGCTTGGTAACAAATCTGTTTTCCAAATGTCTGGATATTTACTCATTAACTTTAGGATTTTTGAAAAATTTGAGAGGATCCTCATATAAGATTATAATTGTAAGATGCCAATCTATTTAAAATTTTATAAATTCAACACTTCTATGTACTTGTACAATGTTTTGTACAAGCGATATATAAGCCCAAACCCAAGCCTCTCTAAGCCCAAAAAAGAGAAGAAAAAAAAAACCAAACCAACTAAACTCAGATCTCCTCTAAATAGAGCGAAAGCCCAAACTAAAAATTCAGCCCAAAAAGAGCAAAAGAGAATATGCATTTGGATTACTTCAGTATGAAACTAATGTATTATCAGTCTAGTAACATTTCACCACCAATTTTATTTTAGTTTATGTTTATTTAGTTACTTTCACTTATTTAACATTGAATTTTAATTTTATATGTAAATTAAATTAATGATTAGTTTATGTCACAAGATGGATGTCTTATATTTTCAATCTCCTATAGTTTTATAATCTAAAATTTTAAATCGACAAATTTTTAATATCCAAACCGGTGTTTTATATGATCAAAAATGATTCTAAAAATTTTAAATTAATATTTTTCTAATTTGTCACCAACATTGTGACAAATAGTATAAAAATTGATTTGTATATTTAGAAACTATGCATATACAATAATAATGTGATTTCAATCTTTTTTTATAAAAAAAAATTGATTATTAAAATAAAGTAATTATACAAATGTTAAGTAATTTACTTTGCTTATAAAAACTTTAAAAATGTTGAGATTGAAGAGAAAGGGAAAAACATAATACATATATTAATTTCAAAGCATATGACAGGCATGATAGTTTATAATTAATGGTTCATGTGGGATAACTGCTTCCATTAAAATTTTGCTTAACATTTTTGAAAGTAAAAGAATTAAAATAATAAATCTCAAAATATATCAAGATAGAAATCAAAATATATTATTCTAATTTTATATAAAACTCTACTTGAGGTTAAATTTTTTTCTTTATCACCTTCTAACATAAGTTAATATTACCTCTTCTCATAATTGTTTAAAAGTAAATTTGCAAATAAAGTCCACAAATTTATGGATTAATTATGATTAAGAGCTTAAAAACGCATGTTTTAGTAAAAAAAAAATTTATTATATCGTTTACAGATAATAGATTATCTTAAATAATGCATGTTTTAATTACATGTTCTTATAATGATATCGGAGAGCACAAAATAAATAACAAAGGAAGTTGAGGGCACTTAATCCTGCTATTAAATAGTAAAAATAATCCAACTTACTGGTATTCACATCTTCTGTTAACCAGTTGCTGCTAAAGTTATGTACAATAGTCACCACTAAGCTGCTCACATAACTTGCCAACGCTGTAATGAGATAAAGCATGGAAGTACCAATGCTTCTCATGTGATTGGGAAACTCCTTGTTATAAAATTCTGTGAGACCAACCATGCCATATACCTCAAATAATCCCATCAGAATAAGTTGCGGAACTAACCACATCACTGACATTGGTGCAACACCATCAGCTGCCCCCTTTAAAATGGCTAGATCCCTTCTCTTCTTCTCAATAAACCCAGAAACCACCATTGTTAGGATTGCAAATATATTGCCAACTCCTACTTTTTGGAGGCATGTGATTCCGCCTTCCTGTCTCGTGAGCCTTTGGAGGGGCGGAACAAGTACTGTATCGTAAAATGGAAGCCATATAGCCATTGTTATCAAGGTTATGGTACGGAGCGAACCTGCAGGAATTTCATAATTGATACCTATAATATGGCGATCCATTTTCTCGGCTTGTGATACTGCGAAGGTTTGTTGTTGGTTGAAGGCGAGGAAGGCGATTATACTAGTAACACTAATGGGGATAGTTCTCATAAGAAATTTGACATCTTCTATCTGTTGGATGCTGCAAAGTCGCCATGGATTTATGGGATTACCATCAACATCCACTTCATTCTCACTCACTACAGCCGCTTTATTCAAGCATCTAACCAACAAAATCAAATAATCAAAAGTTTTTACAAGAGGAAATGCATATGAAATGGAAGTGTGTATATATATATATATTATTTTTACCTGAACTCATTACTGAGATGCAGCTTATTTGATAGTAAAGGAGTTTCTAGTGGAGGATCATAGAAAATAATGTCATCTCCTTCTGTAGTAAGTGTAAGCTGTTGCTTTCTGTAAGCTGCTACAAACACTTGCGTTATACTAGAAAATGTGCTTCCCTCTGGTTTGACAAATATGTAAATCTTTGATCCAACAAGAAGCAGGGTAATTGCACCGAGCATAAAAGCTGTTGGTATCTCAAAACCCAATGCCCAACTGATGTCATTTTGGACATAAACAACTAGAGTTTGAGAAATCAACAAAACAATTGTTTGGGTCGTGTAATACCAACTAAAAAAGCTACCAACTCCTCTTCTTCCTTCGGTAGTTGATTGATCAAACTGATCAACACTGAAGGGAATGCTGCATGGCCTGACTCCGCCTGCGCCTATAGCTAACCACAACATGCTTAATATCAGAAGACTTAGTTGCATGTTAGTAGAGGCTGTGCATTGGTTGTTTTGTTCTTGCTCAGAAGGACATGGAGGAGGTCGTAACTGTGGCACCAATGCCGTTGTAGTCATTATCATCATTCCCTGTCAAGTTAATTTAATCAGCCTTAAAAAATTACTAATTGAATTAACATTAATTGCATACTAATTAAATTGAAACACAAACGTCATGGACAAATTTACAAGTACTTGAAATTCTTCTTTTGATATATGTTTAGTTTAACGAGAAGAAGATGTGACCTATCATATGAACTTTTAGGTTGAATAGATTCAATATCATATTCCAATTTTCAAACTCTATACATTCCACATGATATATAAGGTTAAATTTTAATCCTATAAATGATTTAGTTCGTTAATCCTCTCATCATCATGCGTATACTGGGAAATATAGAAATTAAAAAGGCTAATATATGACAAAAGAAATCTTGATTTCTGAGTATGAAAGCCAAACATCTTTATCCCATGAAAAATTCGCTTACTTTATAAGCACAGTAGTAGTAAGATTACATTACAAGTAAATAAAAAACAAGATAGGAAAATGGAAAGTTTGTACTAGAAAATTACGAGAAGAGAAGCAAAAGCACCGATAATGATGGTTCGATATTTGCCGATGAAGACATCAGAGATGAAGGCGCCAATGAGCGGTGTGAAGTTGGTAATACCATACCATACATTTATGATTGTTGCAGCCTTCACTTGATCCATGTGGTATTCCCTTTGCAAGTATACCATGAAGTTAGCAACCAACCCAAATGATGCCAATCTCTCGAACATTTCAGTTCCTACACAAATATTCAACTTTACCTCTTTTAATTTATTGAAACTAACTATTCTATACGTTTTGTTATATTTATGTATCCAAATACATATTTATACCACTATGTTAAATGGAAGGAGAGAGAAAAAGAAGAAGATACCTAAAATGAAGGGCATAGTTTTCCATCCTGCAGGCTGTCTCTGGTATTCTGCAGAATTTGGTATAAGGGTTCCATTCTCTTCATCCATATTCCACTTCTATACTTTCTATTTGCCTTCTCATACAAAGTGTAGCGTCTGGCTCTATAACCTTGAACTAAAGAAATCTTCTTATTGTCATCTTATTTTGTAGTTATTTTATTGTTGTCTTCTATTGTCTTTTACCCTCATTAAGAATTAATAACAGTGAGAAATTAAACATAAATGTTTACAGATTTTATGACTATAAATATTATAGATATTGGATTGATTTTCGTAATCCCCTTTGTCATGATCTATGATTTTTTTATGAAAACTAATTGCTTTCTTTTCTTATTTGTTCCTCTGAGTAGATTTTGATGTGAAATCCAACTTTTACTTTTTAGAACTTGGATTGATAAGATTAAAACATATTGAAGTATAAATTATTTTCTCTATACATGATAAATGTAATATTCAGCTGGAGCACCAGTACAAAAGAAAAATATATATATATAATATATTAGTTAATTAAGAAAAAAAAGAAGAATATAAAAAAAAGAGAACAAACCAAGCGGCAATATATATATATATATATAATGAAATAGCAGAAAAAAAAAAAAAAAAAGAGAAAAAAGAAAGAGAGGAAGAGAGCTGAGTTCGAGTGGGTGAGAGAGGAGGCCGAGTTGAGTGAGGATCAGGGCCGAAAGAGCAGAGTGAGGGGAGGAGCCTTGGCCGCGTGAGGAGGAGGAGTGAACGGCAGTCAAGGAGGCGAGTCGCGGCGGAAAGGGGAGATGTCACGGGAAGAAGAGGAAGAAGAAAAGGAAAAGAAAAAAGAAGAAGAAGAAGAAGAAGAGAAGAAAAAAGGGAAAAAAATTTTAAATTAAATTAAGGAAGAAAAATGGAAGGGTGAGGACCAAATATGATCTTGGCGAGCTGTATGTGACAACACGCGCTGATTCGATCATCAGGTATTTTCGGTGACACACGTATGATGATGCGTGGTAACGTTGGCGACCGGGACTGCGTGTCCCAAGATAAAATCCATTTCTCATTTCGCGTAATATGGTTTTTAAAATTATTCATAATTTAATATATATATATATTTCTATTATAAACGAGAAAAATTATTCAAACAGTATTCAAATTTTCGAGATGACCGTAGATCGAATTAGAAAGGATTCTCAAAACTTTACTGATCACACCGTAGGTAAGAATTATGTGTATTATGTATAGATACATAAATTATATGTTTATGTAAATGTGTATATATACAGTATAAAATGTGTGAATATTTAAATGTATTTATAATGTAATAAAAATAATTAGTATGTTTAATTTGTATTTGTTTGTATTTATGTAGTGTATATATAGTTGTTACACATGTATATGTATATCTATAAAAGTATATGATGAATGATATATAAATTGATAAGAACAAAACTGATAAGAGCAAATGCGTAAATAAATATGTATATGATATGTTGCGTATGATTATGTGTACGTATTTAAATATGAATGTGTGTGTATGCATCGGTAGAGATTGTGTGTGTATGTGAATATAAATATATATTCTATTTGAGACATGTAGTGATGATACATATTTGTATTATAATATATGTGTGTATTAAAATGTGTGTACATATGTTATGCATGTGAAATGTATAATCAGTGTGTGTACATGTGAAATTTGAGTACACTGCACTGGCTGTGTAATCTGGTACATTATACTTGTTGTGTGATCTGATATAGTTGCGTGAGGAATTTGAGTATCATGTGCTTACTGTGTGATCTGATACATGATGATTCAGAAAGTAGTTTGAAATGTATAGCTCTAATGTGCGTAATGTTATTGTGTATTTTGTGTATGTGTTTATGTTTAATTATGTATAGAAATTAAGATCTTAGGTAGGAAATAAGTAAATTAGAAATGAGAGAGATTTGAAAAAAAATATAAAGTGTAAGGACCCTGAATATCTACTCGTGTAGTTTGAATCGATGAGGGGAGGGTGCGTACGTGGCTGAAGTTCAACGAGTATGGTGAACCTGCATATGGATAGAGTTTGAAACCTAGTCCAGGCGTGGATAAGTATTTATCATTGTGGATCACCTAACAAACGTACCTATTTAGGCTATTGTGAAATTTATGTATGTATGTGCTATCTATGCAATGAGATGATCCATTTTGCCTCTCCTCGATGACGATATAAACGATATCGCGCGATGAAACCTTAGATGTGATATTTCGAGTGTATTATGATATTTCGAGTGTGAGTATAATTTAAAAGGAGAATAAGAATTAGGTTATAAGAGTGAGGATTAGAATATGTTTTGTGTGATGATTTATTTTATTGTACATTTTAATTGAGATGCTTTGTTTGATATTTTTTTTATTATAAATATTATTATATTTTATATATTGGGTGAATGTATGTACGTAAATCTCTATCATAGAATCATTTTTCTTACCGAGCTCGTGAAGCTCATCCCAATTCACCCTCATCCAGGTCAGAGGAAGTCAAAGATCAAAGGAATATGACGAAAAAAATTTTTTTAGTTTTTATTTTAATATTATAAATTAATTTAGATGTCTTAATTATGTGTAAACAAATAATTATCCAATAACAAGAAATTTGTATTAAAGTGTAGTTCCCCTGCATATTTAATATTCATATGTTTCACTAATTAAAAATATTGTACTAACGTCTGTATCTACCGATATTGGAATTTTTAATGTTACAATAAATTATTTTTTATGTTGGATTTTTTTTAATTACAAGAAATATATTTTATTAAAAATATAAAACAATAATAAATTGAACACATAGAATCTTTGGTATATGAAAAATAAAATCTTTTGTAATAAACAAACAATCTATCTTTTACAAAATTATTCATTGTTTACTATTTTAGATACAAAAAAGAAACAATAAGAAAAAAAGAGCATGATCCACTAATCAATAATAAAAGGATTTTATTCATACTCACTCGTAAAATGCGTCTTCCTCATTTTGCCTTCAACATTAAATCATCTTATTAAAATAGATAATAACACCAAATAACATATGCACGTGATATAATAGAAATTCATAGTGGCCAAGACAACATTCCTTTTGTGCTTGGTAACATGTTATTTTAAGCTTTAGATATTTAACCAAAATAATACTAATCAATAGTTGTTGTATTGACATTGTAACATAATTAAAGAGATTTGACTAGATTTAAGAAAATGTCACATAGCAATGTGATTTTTGTGCCACATTTCACATAAAAATCTATACTTTATCTATATATACAAAGATATTAATCTCTTTAATCAGGATAAGCCATTGTACTTTGTAATTTTTGTGTCATATTTGGCATAGTTAGGAACTAAATTTTATGTATGTAAAGACATTAGTTTATTTAATTTAGATAGACAATTGTAAGTAGGATTCAAGTAGGAGAGGTCTTATTCTAGTACGAACTAAAAAATCAAATGAACCAACTTGTTACAAATTAAATCCATTAAATATGAAAACTATAAATCACAGTGATCAATAAACATAAATTCTAACTCGTCAGATGGATATAACAAACACATAAATACTAACTAGCAGTTCAAATTTATTTATGAGTTGATAAATTGGAGATAAAAGAATTATGACAAAATATCTTCAAAAATTCATAATCTGTAGCTTTATAATATAGCAATTCATAAAGAGTTCTGTTATGAAAAACTAGAGTATTGATCAAATAGGCACTAGTGGTAACATATCCGTTCCAAAATTGAATGGGAATTTTGAATTGAAAATATAGGGCTCTTGGCACATTCAAGAGATTAAAAAAAAATTAATCTAAAATTTTTGAATTTATAAAGACTTTTCCTTTTTTTTTATAGGCTTAAAAGAGATAATAAATTTTAATATATTAAATGGGATGTGTTCATGCATGCATTAAATTTTGGACTTATAAATTAAAAAGGAACCAAAAACTTTTTTTTGATTTGGAATTTTTATCTCATTTTTATTTTTTTTTTGTTCATTTTCGAATTTTTTTCTTCTCCTTTCATTTATTAATTTTTCCTTTATCAATTAACTATTTTTTAAAGTCTGAAAAACTTGTATAACAATTATAAATTCGATATTAACTAAAAAAGATGCAAAAAAAATGTATAAAATAAAATTTTCACTTCATGCAATATGGTTTAATTGTATAAATTAATGCACCCGCCTAAAATCCAGGACCCTGTCTTTTAGTGAAGGCTTAAACAGTACTCATCAATAAATAGGCCAGATTTTCGACCTTATCCAAACACGTCCTGAACAAACAACCCCAAAACGACAGAAACTGAAAGCGTAGAAGGAAATACATATTTTAACAGACGGATCCTTTGCTTTCACGGTGTATTCGTATGCCTACGCCACTTTCCCCCGCCCAACACTCTCTCATATAAGCGCCTTCTCATTTATTGCATTCTACGCTATTCGCTGACATTGTTCGTTGCTTCATTTCCTACCTCTGTCTTCTTCGTCTTCTTCTTCTCTTTCCTTTTCGTTCTTGTTCTTTTTTGCGACCGCTTTGGGCTACCAAGTGTTCGACGAAATGCCTGAAGGATGCTCTCCCTCACCGCGAAGTCCACTCACCTCCTTCTTTCTTCTTCTTCTTTCGCAGATTTGAATACCCATATTTTCTCTCCTTCATTTTTTGCCATTAACCTTAGAACGCGGCGGAATAGGCGGGAAATTAGTGTTTCTTCGAGTCTTCTTGCTGCCAAGGAAAGTGGGTCTCTTTTGGGATTCCTTGGCGCGAAAAGGAAGGATAACAGAGGTTCTTGCCGGTGGTGTGGTGGGTTTGCGAGGGGGTGCAAGAGGAGTTGGAGCAGCGAAGGGAATATTGAACTGGAGGCCGGGATTTTGGAGTTCATGAGGAACTCAGCGAAGCCGGAAGTGTTTCCTAGCAAGAAAGAATTGATTGATGCAGGGAGGATGGATCTTGTGGAAGGTATTATGAGGCAACGAGGGTGGCTGGCATTGGGTTGGGATTCTGATAACGAGGAGGAAGAAAAGAAGGGTTGGGTTCAAGAAAATGGTGCTAACAAGGATTTTGTAACCGAGACAGAATGTCATAATGGGGCTTGTCAAGTAGAAAATGAAACTCATATTTCTTCTTCTTCGGCTACCTCGTCTGGTATATCACTGTGAGGCTTCTAATTTTGATATTATCTTTCCCTTCTGTTTGTTAAAAATTAGTGCATCTTACTTTTTAATTTTTTTTATTTACTAGATCAACAAATCAATTTTTAGTTTGTAGGAACATGAAGTCAGATTATGGAGTGTCAGTTATAGATTTAGTTAGAAGTATTTTTTTCTTTTGTATATAGCGATTGTAGATTATTCAGTTGGAAGTTTTCTTGAGTAGTTGCAGATTTTGAAGGGCTTAACTTCAGTTGTTTTTGGCCTATATATTTAGTTTGCATTTGATGTATTTTATATCAATTTTCCATAACAGCAAGAAAACATTTTTTGGTGTTTTTACTCTCATACTACTGCTTTTTTATACTGCTTTTTAGACTTCCTCTGTTTTTTATTTTGTTTATGGTATCAGAGCCAGGTTCTCGCACTTTTGCAATTCTTTCTTTTTTTTTGTCTATCAAGTTGTTTGCTTGTTGGTGGAGATTGAAAGTTGTGAAGGGGAAGCTCTTTTATATGCAGTATGGAGTTAGTAAATGGGGGAAACAGTTCATGTGCACAATATGGCATTGATAAACTTGTAGGGACAAACTACAAGTACCGGAGAATGTCTATGAAGGCCTATCTTCAAGGTCAAGACCTGTGGGAACTTGTTGGTGTTCAAGCAGCAATTCCTGAGGATACTCCAGAAAATACTGAACCATGGAGGAAATGGAAGATTAAATGTAATAAAGCTCTTTTTGCTTTAACGACTTCAATCAGTGAAGAGTTCATTGACCATGTTCATGATATTACTTCACCAAAAGAAGTTTGGGAGACACTAGAGAGGTTGTTTTCCCAAAAGAATACAATCAGGTTGCAATTGTTGGAGAATGAATTGGCAATGCTAACACAAGGAGGTATGTATATTTGTAAATATTTTTTACAAGTTAAAAGTATTTGTGCTGAAATTTCATAATTAGACCCGGATGAGAAAATAGTGAAGCAAGAATACGATGTTTTCTCATTCGCGGACTAAAGG